ATCCTAGGTCAGTCCATATTGGGACAAACTGTGCCCTCTGTCTTGAGTATCAAGACCTCAGGCACAGTTTTTCCCAATATGGACCTCCCAGGTGGTGAATAACATATATTAATTGTTTGTGGAAGAACACTGATTAGTTGCATTGATTATAGTTTTTTTATGCACCTTATTTTCAAGTAAATCATACACTTTCACATTGTCTATGCACTTATACATTTGAATTTTCTTTGTTTTTTTTCCCATAAATAAATGAATAATGAGAAAATAGATGGAAAACAATGTGAAGGAAAGATAAATGACTTTTCCATACTTTTTGTAAAAATTAAGGTAGATTTTTTTTCTTTATACATGATAAAAGGCAAAGTACTTAGAGACAAAAAATAACTTCAGTGGTGCACTGGAACTCATCAATCAGGTAAGTATGTGTTTCAAATTTTTTTTAACAAAGCAATCATTTGACACCACTTTCAACTGACCTATTCAATCATTAGTAGTAATAATAATAAAATAGTAATGATAACAATAATTTGATAATAACAACAACAAGTTATTAACACCATTTCCAACAAGTAACTCTTCATCTGTTAATAACTAGCTACAATTAATCATTCACAGTTAAAACAAATTTAGGAAAAACTATAAAAAAGTAAATAAGAAGATATTTGTTCCAAAGTTAAATTACTAATTTTTGCAGTGGTTTAAGTGGTGAAATTGTCATAATAGAAAGAAAAGGACTGCTCACTTTACTGCTGCAGAAATTTGTTTGCTGAAGGCAAAGTGAATATTGTTGAATGGTCCCTGAGACAAAGTTGAGGGAGTTTATTACTATAAAATATTTGTGGATCCTGAGTAGGATAATTGTTTTGGTATTACTATGAATAAATTAATTTCCAGTTGAGTATCAATAGTAATCTAGGATCAGTTGGGTTTGTTTAACTTTGCTCTGCAACTGGTCCAGAGCACTTGTGCCATCCTCTCCACCAAACAGATGCAAAACTAAAAATAACTATAACTTGGTCATTTGTATTGTCCCACACTGAACCAGTTAGCTTTTTTTCAATTTTGAGTTCTCATTGGCTAATAATAATGTAAACTTTTTTATGACTGGTTGCTGGGATTATTTTGGATTTGGCTTTTCAATACCCAATTAAAAACTACCAGCATTTTCTTTTGTTTTTTCCTCCATTTTAAAAATAAGTCCTTGAGTGGTATAATCACCTTGTTTGGGAGGAAGCAAGATTTTTTGTCATCCATTTTTTACACATATCAACCAGTTGAACTGTTTTTACAGGCTGTGGTAGGATATCCAGACTTCATACCTGCTCTGATTGAAAAAATGAAGCTACAGCTTGCTCTGCAAGACTGGGACCAAACACTGGAGACAGCTCAGAGGTAGACAAGAACCAGCAGATAATATAATATGCATCTCTTTGGTGGAAAAAATGTATATAATCATTTAATTAGGGATCCTAAATTATGTTCCCTATAGGGCTTCAAAGTACATGAAAACTTGTACAATGCAGCTATATGATTTTCTCTCTAATAATTTGAAAATATGTTGTATATTTTAGAGTGAAATTAAAGTAACAAAGGAGAGATTTCAAGGATCAGTCTGTGTGTCATTTGTTACCATAATTCAGTTATAATAATTTATCTTTTAGAGCCCTGAATAGTAGCAGAAACTGTATAGAAGCACAGCGGATGGTTGTTCTCTACACACTGTGTCGAGATGGAAAGTATAATGAGGTGAAAAAAGAAGTTCTTACTTTATTTAAGTTTTTTATAAAAAAATGAATCTAAATACTGACTCACTAGTCAGAGTTAGTGGTCTACCATTAAATTGGTAAGAAAGTTAGGTTGTTCTTAAATAGAAGTGACATCTTTGTTTCAGGCCTCAGACAGGCTAGGAGAATTAATTCAGATGGTAGACAGATGTGAACCAAGGAATTC